CAACTGTTCAGGAGAAGCAAAACATGTTTTTATCACAAATGTCATGATTCCAGACATATATCCAATTAAGACGACATTTTATAATACGGAGATAAGACTTTTTCATCAATACGATAATTACTTTGTATTTCCATTAGCACTTTCATGGAATAATACATTTTTTTTTTTGTTAAGTCATCATACTTCTAAACAATGTGCTATTGTTTATTTAAATTGGAATTATTATAAACTTATGACAGTTGTGAATAGGCCGTCGCTATGCATAATGGAAGATCTAAGTGGAGTGACGGAGGCTATTTGCCTCCTTTACTCTTAGCCCCAATTTACTCTGAACTTGATTTTCATCATAATATGTGTGTGCCTGATATGCATTTTAGAAATCACCCTCTCCCCTTTATCTTGTCCTGGATCCACCCTTGGCTACATCGTAAATTAAATAAAAAGAATAACTATTTGTATACAAACTACAATGCATAGTTTATTTAACTTATTAATAATTAATAATCACATTTAATTGAACTCATTTCTATTCCTTGTAACTATACTATTCATGTTATTATTTTATCATTATTGTATAAAATTATCAAGTCACACTTCGTATAATACAATGCAATTTAATTATTTAAGTGCAATAATATTATATCGGCCTATTTGCAGCGTGCAGTACCTATATATATACCTGGCTAAATACACGTTCCAAATTCGCTCAACCGCCGTAAAGAATGTACATATTTTAAAAGCGTCATCATATATAATTTGTTATTCGCGGACGAATTAAATTACCTACCTAGTGTTGGGTGACAAAATAACGGAATCCGAAGAAATCGATCCAACAATATCCATAATGTAAATAAACAGAAGATAATATACCGGATTGTGTGTGTCCTATTTGAACTCGAAAACTACCCATTCGACTTTCCGGACAATTTCACGATTTGTTCCTATTGGTTCCAAAGTCTTTTACAAATAGCGCAGGATTAAAATATGATGTCCCCGAACAAATCAAATTTCCACAGTAACCCCCTTCTGGCCATTTTCAAGGGGCTTCGTTTAATTTTTTTTTGATTTGTCTGTATTACGTTGATAGGAAGTAAAATAAATAAACATGACTATATTTTACTACTTCGTTCGGAATCGTTTTTCGTTTGCGATAATTTACTGTCTCGCATATATGTAATAGTACTTACTAAACTACGCTAAAATAATATTATATCCAAGTTTTCAAACTATCCACTTATAACAGTGGTTTACCCGCGGTGCGAGCGATAAATGTCGGTTAAAAAAAAAATTTAATTCAAAATTTAGTAACATTGTTTTATAGTTTACATAATTAAAACAAAAAAAAAACCACGTCAAAATATTACACCGCAGTTTAGATCGTTTATTATAATTATTTTAAATAATGTCTCGCCGATGAAACATTTAATGTTTCACCACGCAATTCATCATCAAAACTTTTAGAACTTGCATATTATGAAAACAATAACGTTGGCGGTTTTGAAAATAATAACAGTATTCTAAACATTGTATTGAATACTTCAATTAGCCAAACTGAAACAGGGGATCTCTTAAGTATACAATAATTTATTAATTATTATAATATTATCAATTATAGTGAGGCACCTATCTAGATGGTTAAGAACTGTACTCGCGATATAATATGTATACAAGCTACACATCGTTAGGAATCGCCCACGCCGCTATATTTCACATATAATTTAACATAAATTTGTTAGTGAAAAAAAAAAAAATGTGAAAAACGAAATAAAAATAATTGTTGAACTTTTTAATCCGTAGATACTGTAGAATTTCAATTGAATGTGATAATAATATGATTTATATATTTTTTAATGAACCTCTCGCGTACTAATTAAAAAGCTTTGTGCCCTGGAGATGACTTCAATTTTCAAATGTTTCCTGGAAAATATCTGAACATTTTTATATGTTTTTAATAAAATTTGCAAAAAAAAAAAAAAATGCTCAATTTAATTTTCTTTACCGTTTCTTCAAGATGAGATCTATTTACAACCTAAAATATTTATAGATGTTATTTTTCGACAAGAATTTCGTTGATAAGGATCCACGTTGATAATTTTGATCGTTTTTGGGAAAATAGTTTTTAGATAGTAGAGGAAACATTTAATGTATATCTGTATGTAACGATTAACCATTGCTAAAGAAAAAACGATTCTGAGTGGTGTTCGGTTGATAGTGTTGCTATGTGAACAATATATATGCCATATTATGGTAAAATAGTTAAATATAAATTAAACATTTTTCTAAAAATATTTGTTTAATATTGTACATATTTTCCCGTTTTTCCAAAGTTTTTTCCCATTTATTCCTTAGAGAATCCTGAAAGTACTATCCCAGCCAAATTTTCTTTCGTATAAAAATGTTTAAATTCCCTGCTATAGAGTATAGATAATTGTCATGCGGCGGCGATGGAATTATTGTAGCCAGTTCAGTTGTATCGTAAATCGTAATGAATAATAAATCTTAAATTATTATCAAGGATAAAATAATCGATAACTGTGAAAATTATGTTCCACGTGATTCATTATTCGATTGCACAAAGTAATTTTTTGGGCAATGTCATTTGTTCGCTCAAGGTGCAACAGTTTACATACATTATGGAAAATGGTATACAATGTTTATCGGCTGTCGTGGTTATAATGTATTACAAGAAAATATAACCAATATAAATAATTGAAAAAAAATAATAGTTATGATAGGAAAAATGTGTTTATCATCAAATTCAAAAACTGAATTTGTATTATTAAGAAATGATTGTCACTGCTCTAGATAGTAATCGTCGGGGCCCGACAGTTGTACGGAACATTTTGATTTGAGAAATGAATCAAAAACCTACAAAAATAATTAGTTAATTATTGTTTTTAAAGAATTTTAAGCAGATTAAATTATTGTACACGTTCAATTAAAATTGTTAAGTTCCAAAGTTATTAGTGAATTATATGTTTTAATTGTAATAAATGTAATTATTATATATATTATATAGTTAACTAATTGAATTATATGAATTAAAACTAACTAGTTACTAGTTAGTTCCCGGCATTGACCTATATAGTTATAAATAGTTTGTTTATGGGCAACGAGGACAATGTTTTTAAATCGCTAAAATATAAGATAAAATATGATTTTTGACTTATTGTTAAACGTTAAATTTATACATAGCCGTAAAGCCTATGTATCTTTTACTGATGATTTTTTTTTTTCAAAGCTGACAACCTAAATCAGCCTAATATATTTATATTTATATTTAATAAAAAAATAATAAAACCACCCATTTAATTCAAACATCCGAGGCCACTGCCTTCTGTTTTCCCTACCTAAATACGGACCTGACTACCTATACAATATTTTTATAGAATCATTAGAACACCATATTTTTTGTTAACAACATCCCTCCCCCTCCCACGGATATTGTTTTCTAGTTACGGCATTGATACAATACGTTTGCATTGAGTGTGTAATATACTTCAATAATCAATATAATATTTTATCTATTTAACTTGTAAACGGTTATTTCGCGTAACGTCAGTATAATATTAATTGCTCGTGTAGAATACCTAAATCGAATATTTTACTATGGTCAAGCTGCTGATCTATTCGGGATTCCGAGGAATATAATATTGTTAGTTATATGAAATCTATAATTATTTACATTTGGGATTATTCGGCTTCTCCGAAACCACAACAAAGTCTCACAACCAATACGGTCGTTTCCATACATCACCAATATCTTACAATTTGGTTCCCTTTAACTTCCGCGTTTTTTTTTTTTACTTCCGCTTCGTCCCAAAGGTATGAGCCTTATATTAGGTTCTGTTTTGACACGGCTCGTATAGTAGAATCAGTAGAGGATTTTCTCTTGAGCACACTATTTAAATAATAATATACTTTTTATCGTTTAAACAATAATGGTCCGCTATTAGCATAAATATAGGAATTATATACTTAGTCAACTTTCGAAATTTGAAAAAAGATAAAGAAAAAAACCATTCTGTCGACATTACAAAATGTACGTGACAGATGGTTTGGGGATTTATTGTTGTTGTTGTAATTAAGTAGATAATTGCAGGTACCTCACAGAATAAAAGCCGTTAATTAACTTTTCCAATTACCTATGGTGAGTTGAAGTTCACTATAGTGTTTTTGTGAAAATTGTTAAGTTTTTAATTTACGTTCAAAACGAAAAAATGCACTTCAATTATTGCGCTAAATATATTATTATTTTAAAACGTAATCAATTTAAAAACGTTATAAGCTTCGCGGAATTTAACACATTTAATGCAGTGAAAATAAAAGGATTGTTTTTTTACATTTCATTTCGTCAACAACATAGAGATGAGGGCATATGCAGTAATAATAATAATAATAATAATAATGAAAAAAAACTGTAAAATTTGCATTTTGTTTTTTAAATTATGTAAAAATATTCTAAAGAAAACATCATAAATATTATGTAAATTAATACTCGGCTTTCGATAATATCAAAAGATAAATTACTTTTAAATTGTATACAAATGTAAATTTTATATTAATATTAAAATATTACCAGGACTAGATCACGAGAAATAAAATTAATAGTATTACGTACCTAGGATATTGAAAAATTTCTCGAATTCAATGCACAATATTACATAATATTTTATAAGAATATTACAACTCGTCTTTCATTATCAATATATATATAATGATTATAATATATATTAAATACAGTGCTTGAATTGGGAAAAACAAAAGAAAGTGAATAATGAGACATAAAATAAGTAGCTTTCCTTACAATTATTGACTGAAAATCTAATCCGTGGGGGACTTAGCTCTTATATCTCTCATATCCCTTTCATGCTAATTTTTTTAAAAAAATCCATAACCCGCTACATTTAACAAAATCCATAGAATACAATTATTTTTAGACTTTTATCATTATTATTTATTCATTAATAAGATTACATAATTAAGTAGTTAAAATTGTATAACATAAATAATTGGAAGCACTCAGCTATCGTCAATCATGGTTATAAGTTATCGCTTCTTTTATGATATAATGTCGTAAACGTACAAAAATAAAAAATCTTCCTACAATAATGGGGATGGATGCAGCCACTATTGTAGTTGGGAAGGTTTGGAGGTAAGATACAGAAGGGAATTTAATGTATTAATTTAATGTCTGTAAGCAACGATAAACCATAGCTAACGAAAAAACGATTCTGACCAGAGTTCACTTGATAGTGTTCCTTTATCATAATATGGTAAAATAATTAAATAGGCATTATATATTTTCAATTTTATTTTTCAGTTGTAATGAGGTTAAAAATACTCCTAGAGACTTGAAATAAACATAAAACTTATATTTGCCTTTTATAGACTTATTAAAATGTTTAAAACATTTGGGACAATTTCCAGCGGTTTATAGTCATTTTAATTTTGCTAGTTTTTTACATAATTTGTATTTGATAAGTACTCTGTGAATAAAATTTAAAATTTAACAGGAGTTTTATTATGAGTCGTAATTTGCTTTTAAAAGAAATTGACTGTAGTGTAGAATTTGTTTTAAAATAATTTTAATTAATTAAAATATCATAAATATTTATTGCCTTTCAAAACTTGTGCAACCGAACTCCGCTTTTAATCGTTTTTCATTAGCAATTATTAATCTTTCCCTCTATATCCTACCCTCCCAACGTCTTCTTCAACTGTGGCTCACACATCGTGTAATCTATGTCCGTCTTTTGTATTACGACGTTGGTATCACTGAATTTATCGGTATCCTCCGATTAATTTATTAGTTATTGTTTTTGACGTTAAAATATCTATGGATAATTTGAGTTGACCACTCGTTTTTTAGTATTTTACATAGGCTCTATAAGTATAATTAGATTAAAGTGCGTTTACATCGGGAGAACGAATGGGATCCAATAATATTTGTAGATAGTAACAAATTGTTTTATTATTTAAAACGGCAAAACTTTTGAAAATATTTGTTTCTGATCACGATCGGTAGTTTGATTTTCAACTTTTCTCTATATTCTCTATTATTTCGCTATTTTCCTTTTCAAAATATAATTTGTAACTTATTCAATAATTGTTAAAGCATCTATAATTAGCACTTATACAAAAATTACTTTAATTGTCCGGACGAAAGGTACAATACAACCACGTCTCTGAATAGAATCAAAAATGTCATATGTAAACGTTGTAGTTATAAAATTCGACAAATCGAATGCAATGTTTCTATTTTATTTATATCTGTTTTCTTAGCAGCACCCCACAGTTGTAAGCCATAAGACCACATTGGCTTTAGTAAGGTTTTGTATAGAAGGAATTTGTTTTTTAGACTAATTTTGGAATTTTTTCCAAGTAGCGTATATAGGGACGTACTTACTGAGGGAAGTCAGATGAGTTTCCAGCGGGTTCTTGCTTGGCGTTCTTATGCTTTGAGTTCGCGAATGTGAGTGGGGATTAAAAGCAAATTAGAACCGAGTTTTTGAGTTTTAGTGGTCGAATTTCATACTGCTGTCTGTATATTATCCATGAAATTTAACTCAGTATCTTGAATATCATTTGGTAATTTTAAGTGGCACTAAAATAAATTCTTGAAATAAAATTTATTAAACTGTAGTTAGTTTTAGATAAAATTTATGAATAACGTTAAAATAACGATTTGTATTTAAATCAGAAAAAAAATGTTAGATGATGACTTTTTCTTTGTGAATAACAAACACCCTTTTCAATTAAATTATTCTTTAGGAAGTATTAATTTATCAATAATATTCATAATATATGATCTTAGAGTGAGGTTTGATATAAAACTTTATTTTGATTACCAAATTTATTTTATTAAAAATAAATCAGCTGCAAAATTAGGTTTCCTAAAACGCACGTTTACACATTTTAGGAATTTATCTACGTTAAAAATGTTATAATTAAATTAAATTATCCGTTATCATTTTAATTATGCGCTTCTAATCTAGTATCCATATACAAAAACAGAGACATACATTTTAAATAAAATTCAAAATAATCTTATTCGATATTTTGTTTTCCATGTTACGTCCATAGAGCATCAAATTTAGGTTTTAGCGTTGACATCATTTTATATAAAACGCTAAATAATATAATGATTGTCCTAAAATCCTTTAGAAAATACATTTTAAAATAAATTCAATAAATTTCCACAAGAACAAATTACTTTATATAAAGAATGCTATTGAGTAATATAATTATGTAAAAAAATGATTGTATTCAGTATTTCATTAACATAATATTTAATGTTAAGATTTTTAATAATCAAACGTATTTATTAAGGGGTTTTTAAGATTCTGTGAATTGTGTACTTATGCAATAATTTTAATTTATATAAAATGTTAATTTGTGTTGTCCAATTTAGTGTAGTTAAATGTTTTATACTTGTAATAAATTGTAAACAAATTGAAAAAAAAAAACAAATGGACATACTTTGCACGATGGGTAAGCCACTGTTGTAGGTCAGAAATTAGCAAGGAAGGATAAAGAGGGGAATTAAATGCATACCTATACGCAAGAATTAACCATTGTTAACGAAAAACGATTCTGATCAGGGTTTGATTTAACACATGTTTTGAAAGACTGTTAATATTTACGATTTTAGAATAATACATTTTGTAAATTTTTCTGTTTTTCTTGGTTTTTCTCAGTTATTATGAAAACCCTCTAAAACATCAAACAAGGACTTCCTTAAACTACCACCCAAATCAAATTTAATTTCAGAAAAAATACTACACTTAAAATTCGTAACAAAATTTCTGGTAGAAAAATTGATAATGGAAAAAAAATAAACACCATTTTAAAACCAATACATTCCTTGCTCCGCTCAGAATCTAAAACATTGGCAATTAAAAATATAATTTCTGTTATTATAAATTAAAACCTTATCATAATAAATGCAATTAATAACTTTTAATAATATTATGATTAACACATAACTTATACATACTGCATTCATAAGTTGTACGTTAAATTGAACATTTTCATTTGTCGTTTACATCAACTATCGGTTTCACACTGCCCGTATCATATTTATTATAATTCATTTGTATTGGAATATTATACGCATTTTATTTAGTATTAATCCTATACCACTTTAAAGACTTACCCAGAAACACCTAAATTAATGTAATTTAAAGTACTAATAAGTACTTACTACTATTTAGTACAAAATATTTAAGTTATACAGCTAGACATTTATGTAGGTTCTAAAACGAATATTAACAAAATATAAAAATACATCTCTGAATATGACATACTGCATGGTTACAAAAAAAAGATGAACAAAATCTTGAAATATTCTAGAAAAATGTTCTGGACCAAAGAGAGATTAAAACACTGGAGCATATGGAAGGAAAACAAATCTTAGAGATCTTATCATTTAAGAAATATTAATATATTATTATGTAAGGAAATAGGGATATTACAAAGCAAAAAAATTAGTGAGATAACGCCCGTGTAATGAACTCAAGAACAAAATAATATTATGATCAGAAAAGTAGGACAGTGGAACGCAAAATATAAGAGGGACGTACTCCAGTTGATGACCTTCAAAACAGAGATGGATGAACTAAGTACTGAAAAGACTCTGAAATTATAGAAAATAAACAACAATAATAAGCAAATGGCTGTAGATAATAGGGGGTAGATAGATAAAAACGGTGGTTGATGTGAAGAATTTGAATAGTCTATAATAATCCATCGAAGCAAAAGAATAAGTATGAGAAATATGCGATTTAAACAGTCGTAACTTTTTTCCAGCCAATTTTCGTAACTCGGGAAAAGGTTTTAGAAGTTTCAGAAATATTTTTAAAAAATATAAGAAAATCGAAATTACGGTGTTGTGACGAATAAAAATATTTTACAAATACGATTGATTAAGTTTCCGTGCGTTGTAAAACCTGCAAGTTACGGAAATATATTAAGTCAATTAAAACTTTATAATTGGAATACGGCGACAATAAACAGAAACTTAATGAATCGTGGACAACTTTTTGCAGTCAGATAAATTAGAGCTATTATTCTGAATATTGTCGTCAGTTTGTTACGTGATGATTATTTTTTTAAATTTTTTTTTAACTAAATGAATGAACAAAAAAATGTTTTTGTTTATCCTAAAGTTTGAAGTGTATTAAGACTGACAAGAATTTTACGATAAATCTGAGCACTTTGAGCACTTGAGTGCTTAAAAAAAACTTAGATGAGTTTACCCGACGGTAATTTTTGTTAAAATTTTATTTTGAAAAAAATGACATGGGGCCACGGGGCTTGGAATATAAGAACAAAGGAGAAAGATATATGGGGTGACCAATCTATCATGAGACACTCATTATTTCGGAAAGTATTAACTTTTTCGACATTTGTTTCATAGAAAATTTTAGAAATAAGCAGCTCTGAAATTTTACATCTATGTTTTTTTGTCACCCTAATTTTTTAGGGTGAAACGACTACCTACTTTTGATTTTCAAATGGCAATGTTCTTTAAAACAAATTTCGAAAAATTTAACCTTTCCAAAATAATGAGTGTCTTATGATAGATTGATCACCCTATATAATATAATTAATACATACATAGACATACTTCACACGTAAGTTGGGCCGCTGTTGTAGATGAGAACTTGGAAGGTAGGATATACAGGGGATTATAATTTATACTTGTATGCACCGATTAATCTTTGCTAATGAAAAACAATTGTGAGTTGAGTTCGGTAATACATGTTTTAAAACGCCGTAATATTTAAGATTTTAAAATAATACAATTCGTAAATTTTCTCGTATTTCCCACATTTTTTTCCGGCTTTTCTCATTTATTATGAAAACTCCTGGGAAAATCAAAAAATTACCTTTTCAAAATACCTTTCCAGACAGATTTTCATTCAGGAAAAGTGCTATCACTGTAAATCAAAGCGAAATGTTGGTAGAAAAGTTGTCCTCATAAAAATAAAAAATAAACATTATTGTAAAACAAATACATTCCTCTAATAGGAATTATAATTAATAAGAAATTTAAAAAAGGACGTTGCAAACCACATTAAACATTATGTGATGGTCAGTGCTTGAACAAGTATTGCAATGTACACCAAATTAGCCAATGGTTCGTCCTAGACAGAGAAGGTTGGAGAGGTTCAGGAGAGATGAACGGATGCTGGGTACAGTGGATGACGAAAAGTCAAGAGAGGGATAGAAACATCATATTATTTTTGTATCATAATAAAAATAAATTTAAAGGAAGGGAGAAGGAGAAAGAATGGGATAGAAAGAGTATGAACTTTGGGGGGAGGGGTATATATATAAGTATAAAGTGGGTATGACGCATAACGCGAGCGCGCAGTGCTCTATCTATCGATAGGATGATTGATGCCACAGAGTTGCCACAACGCGCAATCGGTCATATGTAACCCTGAATAGACTCGCAGCGTAATATTTTGACAAAATAGTAAATGGTTCTATGTGTGTGTGCGGTCATACGGATTGTATTGTGATGTATTGTGTACGTATACCTATATGTGTATAGACGCATATTATATTTGTTCGACGATGGCTATTGCCTATCGTAGGAAATTGTTACATCTTTCTGCGTAATTATCCCAATTAATATTCTACCATGAAAATATAATAAGTATTACTTACCTTATATTAACTGCTCGAAGTTCGTATGAAGATCATTGCTGAAAATCTAAGGAGCAGGAATATAAAGGGGTGTAGGTATCGATGAACCGTTGCAATGTATACACCTCGTTAGGTACCCAATAGACACGTGAATACCCTCGTGCCTTCGGCTTACAGCGCGGAAATCAGGTAAATAGACAATACTAGTGTTAGCGAGAATTGTGTTTACTCCACCGACATTTCTAGACGTATAGACAACTGTCTCGCGGAGGTAAACGGGTTAGACGTTCGCACTACGATTACGTCCGTTCACATTCCCGGTTAACGAGATGCATTTAGCCGTCTGGTGATGGTCCAAATGCGGTCGGCATATTTGTGGACACAGCATTATTTTTGGTGCCACTTGAAGTCACTATTTTTGTTTTTTTATCTGTTATCTATTTTTACGGTACATTACACGGACATCCGTGTTTGCATTTATTTAAAATATAACTTTCCTTTACACTTGTACAGGCTTAGGACTGACAATAAATATTAATTTATTGTTTACTGGCGTTATTGTTTTTTTAATTTCAGTTACCACTGTGTCGGGCTTACACGAATGTTCAGAAAAATTAACTATTTCTAAACTTTTGGTTTCCATAAATTTTTATTTTTTTCCATTCAGACAATCCCAAAGTGTCACATCTTCATTGTATCTCTATTTTTTGTATTGAAACCCATTATAAATAGCTAAAGGCTAATATTAGTTGTTTTGATAATTTCCGATTCGGACATAGTATAATATTATTAAACTAACTTTTAAACTATTAACAAAAATATTTTTTATACTATTTAGCATGAGAACGTCTTTCCTACGACTAATAAGACACATACCTACATTGAAAAATCCAACTTGTCTGCAATCGCAATGTACAATAACAATACAATAATTACTATCAAATAGATAACGTTATCGTATAAAATTGTGTACCTATATAAAAATAACATAAAAGATGGAAAGATTTAATTCACTCTAGCTATGTATGATTTTCTGTAAATGTGAGCCCAAAATATGCTCTTAAAAACAAAACATACATAGTTGTATATCTATAATCACACATCATAAAAAACCAAAACATTTCTCGCTCCACTCCGAATCTAAAATATGAAAATATATGCAAACACAGATGTCTGTGTAATGTATTGTGAAAAAAACTAAGTAGGACCGCAAGTGCCACTAAAAAGGTCGTGACCGCAAATGTGCCGACCGCATCTGTGCCGGAATCTAGCCGTCTGGCTAATGGTGTTGGACTCTTTTAAGCGCAAAGTGCATATGTCATCCTGTCCCTTTTAGGCGGATAGAAAACCGTTTTTCAGGATGTGTATAGCCGTCTGCGTACCAGAATATTACATATGTTTTTATAAGAAATAAACACAAACTATGATAAAACAATAGTGATAACAAGCAAAATTACTAGGTACATAGGATAAGGAAAACCAAATAAATGCCTGTGTACGGTATCTGAAACTTCTGTATAGGTTTGGAAAAAAACTTATGGTTGGAGTGAGTGAGCGAAAAATTATGTGCTTTTACTGGGCTAACCCAGAGAAGTGACGACTGACGATGCGTATGGCGTTTTTATGTCCTCCGCGGTCTCCCGCACCAACGACTTCCACTAAACGGTAGCTACATACTCTCCTCTATGTGGACGACGCGCGTAATTTAATAAATATTGTGAATTAAAGTGTGATGCACTGAAGTGGCCACACAGTTTAAGAAATGTTATTTGTGGTGGACCTGGTAATTGTGCTGTGTAACCTTGATCGTTTATTTTACAAATATTAATTATTAAATGTATTATATTTTTGTAGCGATTATAAAGTGGTCTCTAAATAGCCCTTTATTGGAAAATAATTTTAATAAAATATCACAAGTTAATTTATTCGTTTATATAATTAATCGAATGGAGACGGTAATTTAAGTATGAATATTGAACACAATTATGGTACCATGTACGTACTTCACAATATCCACATATTTAAAAAGCTATAAAACTCAGAATAATACAAAGGATACATTCCATAATGTCTAGATAAGGTAAAGGAGATAATTGCTAAAATAATTATCTAGATCACTTATCTTCATAAGTGTCACATAATTTAACTATCTAGAAACAAAAAAGAGATAATTTTGTCCATAAAACAGATTATAAAAAATCTCTCATAGGATAATGGAGACGAGAGAAGCCACTGTTGTAAGTGGAAAGTTAGAAAAGTAAGATACAGAAGGAAATTTAATGCATATCTGTAAGCAACGATAAACTACTGCTTATCTTACGAAAAAATGATTGTGAGCGGAGTTCAGTTGACATTGATGCATTGTCAAGTATATATTTGTCCTTTTATGGTAAAATAATTAAATTGGTTTTTACCGATTTTTCCAGTTTCCCTACGATTTTTCTGGTTTTATCGTGTTTTATCCCGGTTTTTCACATTTTCTGGGTAAACCGGAAAATGACCTCTCTAAAATATCTCACTAGTGAAATTTCCTTTTGAAAACATTGTTATCATAATAAATTAGAGAAATATTGCAGGTTGAAAGTTGTTACACAAAAATGAAGGCCATAAAATATTTTAACTTATATCTAAATTTCTTAAATTTTCCGATTTTTTTTTCGGTTTTCCAAATTTGATGAAAAAACTTCTGAGAAGATCGAAAAATAACCTCTCTAAAGTACCTCTCCAGGAAAATTTCCTTTTAGAAAGATCGCTATCATTAAATTTTGAAGTAAAATTGCTGTAAAAATGTTGTGCACAGAAAAAAAAATCCTAATATTTTAGTAATATATTTCGTACATTTTCCCGTTTTAATTATAATAATAGGAATACAAATTGTTTATTAAAATTAATAAAACGGGCAAATTGCCCAATAGTACAAGTAAATAGATAAGTTATTACAATAAATTTATATGGAAATAGATACAATAACATAAAATCTTGATAACTATAGGCTAGAATATAAACTAAAACGATTGTAAAAGTATAATGTTACATATTGTTAGTATATTTTGAGTATTGAGACTAACAGAGTAAAGAAATAATCCAGTGCAAGTTTATCATACAAAGTCATGGCTCTAACAATAGAGTTCTTTAAATAATTTGTGTTGTACCGTTGTACAACACAACACAACACCAGTAGAACGTGGGAGTGATTCGATTATTATATGCTGGGATGTTGAATGGAATATGTTCTAATAGGTAAGAGGCATTGATACGATTATTGATTAGTTTATATAAAGAATAAATATCAGCTAAATCCCGTCTGGAGCTTAGAGGGAAAAGGTTTAGAAGGGATCTTATTGACGTATCATGCTGGCTAATAGTCAAGTTGAATTAATATGCTGCGAACTTTAAAAATCGGTTCTGAACCCCTTCGAAAATGCATGTAGCACAATTTAACAGCATAAATTATAATTTTTAGCTTAAACTTTTGACCTGTAAGACCTGTTTGATATTCAAAATGTCGATGGTTAGTGGATTAGAATTAAAGTTTTTTTTGATAGCGATGAGAACTCTCCCGCTACGACTAAGTGTGCTGGTTATTTCATTTCCATTACAACGATAAACGTTATGTTGTGTAAAACCTAATTCATTATCGATAAAACTATTGTTGAGCCATGTCTCTGTGAAAACTAAAAAATCAAGTGGAAAAGATGAGTTTGAACATTTTAGTAGATTATTTTGGTACGTAGATCAAGAAAATTTTGATAATAACTGGTGAAATTAACACTAATATGAAAAAAATTGTTATCGGTAGGTTTATTGGATTTTTTGTTTGAATTAATAAAGGAATTATTTGTTTATTTATATATTTAAAATTACAATTGGCCTCTGCCCTCTGAATTAGTTTTTTGATACAGTTGTTACGATTTTTGGCAGACCGACAAGTAGCGCTCTTTAATATTCTGTTCTCCAGCGTTTACTCGATTATGGTAATTAGTGTATACATCCTTAATGTGGTGACGTCTGTTTGGGTGCGATCTTTGACAACGGAAATGATTATTACAGATGAGGGGGACTTTCGCTTAGTTGTCAAAAACGATGTAATAAAACGATAGATGTCGCAATAGTTGCGCAAAGTCAGTTTTATCGGTCTGAACTCATCAGCAATTAGACGTCCAAGACGAGTACTATTAACTATGTTATCAGGACTTGCGGAGCATAATAACAATAGCTTGTTTACACCCTCAGTATCGAAATTGATACACTCGTTAATATCCATACTCGGAGATTTTTTAACACCATGAATAATCATGTTAATGAACGCTTTTGGATTTCAATGACCTCGTTCATAATTTGCAGAAATAGATCTTTGGACTCGACAATAGTATCTGTATTAATAGTTTCTAAAGTAAAAACTCTTTTTTTCTAGTTTGTCAACTTTTATCTTTTATGGCACTCGTCTGAATCGGAATCTAATTTCGAAAGGTGATATTCGAATATCATCAATACGACTAATAATGGACTCAAAGCCCTTTTTTTTTTTGACTAGAAGAGAGCGTATTTATCAAATTGCCTAAGTCGTCTAATGTTAATTGCTTATTCTTTTGTTTTACATTGTTATTGCTAATAGTGGTTAGAGGCAAATTTTTCGAAGTAGACATGGTGATGTAGTGATTAGGACAGATCCAGGCACTGCTTGGTTCATTATATACAATAAACATCTCGAATGAAATGTCTAAACTAGAATAATGATAGCAAGAAAAGCAAATCGAACAGCTAAGAGATGTAGATAGACGCGAAATGCCAAGATTACAGATACGGTAAATTGATGTGATGAAATTATTGTAAACTAATATAAATAACAATAACCAAGAAACAATATATGCACGAAACGTAGACTGTTGTAATATAATTATACTGATTTATGTCGAAGCTGAAGAAGAACAGACGGTACGAGGAATTTAAAATCGATGATACTAATCGATATAATAATTGCATTGTACACAATAAGTTGGAAATGATAATACCTGCTGAATCGACAACGGCGACGTAAGATTAAACAACAACAATAACAACGATAACGACGGCACGTCTACAATTGACGATAAGACTTCCACACAACTAAATAAGCAAAATAACCTGATGTTACTATCGTATTATTACGATAGATATAATATTGAACGAAGATAACGGAAAGAGCAAACATACGTGTTGACTCCACCGTGATCGAAACTGTAATTTATTTCTGGTTTTCGAATTTGATGAGAAAAATCGAAAAATTACCTCCTCAAAGTACCTCTCCAATTTCCTTTCAGAAAAGAGGCCACACTTAAAACTCTGAGCAAGCCTTCTGGTAGAAAAGTTATGCACAGATAGAAAACAAAAATAAAAAAATTAACATCTTTGTAAAACTATAAGCTTCTTCCCTCCAATTAGAATCTGAAATTAATACGAAACACCATAGTTAGTTTATTAAACCATATTAATACAAATTACAAATATGATGAAAACTTCCTGTTATTTTGTAACAAAACAGTCGTTGTCGCTATGCCGCCTATCGGAACATGGTCGAAGATGTCACAAATTCGCGGAACAATCTCCTAGCGACCTAGCTGTTATCCAAAATTGCCATAAGAAATATTATACTCGTCATTGTTTCTAATAAATATTATAATTACGATTTTTTTTTTTAAGAAAAAATATTTATTTATTTATATTAAAATAATATACTTTTTTTTTGTGTGACTACCATAGGCCTACCAAATATTGTTAGTCCCCCGCTCTGATTATTTTTTCAAAGTATCGATTATTATTTTCAAGATAATTGCTAATTATATGGAAATTATAGGTGCTTTAATTTATACCTACTCCCTTTCTCCGTGAAAATTCGGTCCATTTGCAACCGTGTAGCTGCGCAATTATTTGTAAATATACACCCTGTTGTATTCTGTTTGTCTAATCGATGCAGTAGTATGCAGTAGCGAGTGCTATTATTAATAATAACTTTAAGGGCTCATGGAAAAACACCGCGAAAAGTTATATCCCCTTTCGTAAATTAATATTTACGAATTCAAATTTTGTTTAAACGCATATTTGTTTTAATCCCGCAATATTATTCGTTCAATCAAAATCGGTTTAATTGCATCGAACATTATATTATTTGCTGGGATTTTTTTTTTTTTAAGTAAAACTTTTTATAACTCCTTAAAAAGGAGGTTATTTTAGATTCCGGGAGATGTAAAAATTTATTCGTTTAATTATGATGTGTGTGACCTTTTTTTCCTCTGTGTCTATGCTTGTGTGGTCGCACTCCAATTTTCCTTATAGTTTTTTAAAAATTGTAAAAAGCTGAGAAAGTTTACTGTATTAACAATTTCATTATTTCCGAATTTGTTTTTGTTGTACCTAATTCAGTTCAAAATAACTTTAAAGGCCTACAATTTTGTTTAACTAATATTTTTCAAACCATTTTAGCGACGTTTTAGTTATTATTTTATGCTATTTGACAAGTTTTTTACAAGTTTTATTCGGTTTTATGTGAGTATAAAATATTGTCGTGGCCTAACAGAAATGTTTGAAAATTTTACTCGAGGTTCATCGAGTACCAAGTAGCGAAGAGAAATCGCCGTTATATAGCATTGTTATTGAATACCATTGAAGGATTACTTATAGTTTCGATTGTTATTCCAATATTACTTTTAAATTTAAAGCCGCGGGCCATTCAAAGTACTTCTTACTTTTTTCCAAATTAAATCATCAAAGGTCATAGTAGAAGTGTTATAAAAATAATCCTAAATTTCACTTTTTTTTTTTTAAATCATACCTAATATCTTTATCATTTTAACGAATATTTGAGTTATTCAAGTATGTGAGCTTCATGCCATGGTTTTAATTCTTCTTCTCCTCCTATTTCTAAGACTCTATAAAGACCATAACACCATTTCTACACATAATTTCATCCATAATTTTGTATTAGGTACATCTTCCCACTCAATTTTGACCGTTAGTTTCAGGGGGATAAATTCTATTTTTCTAACTTGTGTTTAAGCGCGTATTGAAACCATTTGTGAATAGATCTGAACAATTCATCATAAAATGCACATTTTCTTAATTTGTATGGCAAACTAAATTTTTTCAGGTGAAATATGAACAAAATTTTCTTCTAGCAATATACAACAATTAATAACGATTTTAAAAGTCAGTGATATCATGGCGGCTGATAACTTAAAATCTATGTCATTTTTTGAGTTAGACAAGAAGTATTATACAAAATGGTACCACACGGAACGGCGTTACATAGAACGGTTAAAACTAAAACAAGAATAAACAAATTAAAACGGTGAAACTTGAAAATGCAAATTTTGTAACGACTCGTTTTTACTCATGCGACAAAAATTTAAAAATGAACGAAAAAAAATTTAAAATTATACTGTTCCAGTTGTCACCTTTGAAATTTAAATAGTTCTGGTTTTTCCATTTCAAATACTACATTTTGTTTAGTTGCTTATAGTGCCTTTGTAATGCGTCCACTTTTTGAGTTTTCTTTGAATCGTATTATCCACAGACATTATATATAAATTACATATACAGTTAGAAGTTATACGAATATATTTTTTTTCTGAGACATTGGATAGATAACGTTAGTCTACGTTATAGTTCTACGCTAGATAATAATTATTTCAAATGACTTTCAGATTTAAAGTTGGCATACCGTTGCTTATTCTACAATATTACATATCTCAAAATTTGATAAAATAAAATTACCTATTATCGATATTTTTAAACCAACTGATTTCAGAAATATTTTTTGGTCTTGTATTTTTGAGGGTTATATTGTATAACACAAGAATTTGACCACTACTTATATCAAAATCCGATATCTGGGCCTATTATCCATATAAATACAGTTGAGATAATAAGACTAATGAACACTCCATTAAAGTTTAAGTGACGATAATAATATGATTGTTATAATATTCAGTTCATTTAGTTATGAACTGTTCAAAAAATGGCATTGTGTTTTACACAAAACTGCCTAAAACAATATTATTAACGTACGTGTATGCATATTTTCATGCGTTTACCGAAATCGTTAATAATATTATTATTGTAAAAAGTTGATATTGTACATGTTTATGTCAGTTTTCAAATATAAACTCGATTATATTTATTCTTATTTTATGGTATCTTTTATTATTATTATAAAGTTATAAGTTATAATAAAATCATTATTAGTTATAGTACATAATATAAACTATTAAAAATTTGGTTAATTATTGATAAATTCAAAATAAATAATAGGTATTATACACTTGTCAATACGCATTAGCCATTAGCTCATATATAATAATAAAGAAATCAGAAAATAATACATATAAAAAAAAATTGTTGATATTTGTATTTAAACAAAATTAGATTTTAAAATTTTACGTTTTATTTGTGTATTTTTTTGAATCAAAAAAGTAAGAGTTGTATCTAAAAAAAGTACCTCTGATACAATATTTTGTATCTAAGATACAGACACAGATACAAAATATAAAAAAAGTATCTAAACACTGTATATTAGATACATTTATCTAGATTCCAGATATATTACAGAACTGCTGGGCAGGTATATTCACAAAAAGAAAACTATTCTGAACGGATATTGACCACGTAGTACGTATACTCTATACTTATACTAGGTTAAACAAATTATTTAAACAATTTAAACTAACACCTAGATGTGTAAATAATTTGTTATTAGGTATCTAACTACTTAGTTTCGGATTAACGCCATCATCAGGGTACTCATAAAACATTTTGGAATGATTTATAAATACATAGTTGAAAACAATATAAACAACATTCTACAATGTTTTATCTTTATCCTGATTATGGCACCATGCTGAAAACAAATACTTAGTACAATTTTTGTATACTTCTACGTCTTAGTTTAAATTTTTTAATCAATTTATTTCCCTATATTATACATACGAAAAGTGACACAAAATCTTAGGGGGGAAGCAGGAGTGGAGTTTGACTGAGGTTTAAGATGGCTCTCGCACCCTTCGTATTTTCCCCCATATTTTCAACAATATACAAAAACAAATTATAAGTTATGAAACTAACAGTTACATATAAATATTGAAAAATGGTGATAAATTTGACTTTTACCAAAATACAAATTAACTATTTTTTCGCTCTCAAGTGTATTTTCTACACTGTTCGACAGTTTGCCGTGATTTTAATTTATGGACACAATATTCTATACGTATTTTTCGCCTGGAACTTTTTTTCCACCAGGTAAATAAGTATATACGTGTACTACAG